ATCAACCCACAGGCAAAGGGAAACTGGCGTTCCCACCGATGATGTCGTAGGGTCAGATGGTATCTATTTCACTCCGACCCGAGATTTCAGTACAGTTGCTTGGCTGATCGAGCTGGCGATAGAACTAAAATACTAGGAGGATGACTCATGAATGGGTACGGCTTGTCGAGTGGACCGAGCGTGACAGCAGGAAAGAGTGGACTAGGTTATGTCCGACAAAGGAACTATCTGAACGCTAGGTCTTTGCTTGCAACGAACTTAAAAACTATTTGGGGCAGATCATATGTGCTAATATGTAACAAGAATTCTTAGGCAGCCTATCAGTTTCTTTGTGAAGATAAACGCTATCAAGTCACCGTAAGATGCATCCTCCTTCACGCTATCTGTCCAAGGTCTCGTCGGATTAGGAGTGCGGTCGAGTTCAAAAAAAGTTCGTCAATCAGTTTCATTGGACATGTTGCTAAGTTCAAGCAACCACATAAAATCTGTTTAGATCCATTTTTCATCACGTTAATCTAGAGGTCGCTCTCTCATGCCATATTTGATCATAGCCTCTTTGACAAAATTCATGTTTAGGCAATCAAGGGAGAGAAAGGTTAATTATAAGGTTCCTCCACTCATCCAATTCCAATTGTCTGAGACATAACACCTTCCAGGCCATCTCAAAGGAAACACGTCACTATTCAAGTTATCCGCCGCACTCAACCAATTACTACAGAAAATGGTCAAGAACGTACTTCAACCACATCCAAAGAGCTCGTCCTTTCACACATAAGCTGATTTACACCAAACCGATCATGCCAGTGAGTATATCTTCCATCTAAGCTGCTAAAAGGACTGAAAAAAAATGCTTCGTGAAGCATTGTAGAATTAGCAAGTTAAGTAAAAATTCTCCCTTGGCCCCGAAACAAAATCAAACCAAGAAACTTCTATGAAGCATTTGTACCTAATGTCATACATATCCATCCATGGCCTGGATGTCGTCATCATCTCCACAGATACTCTCAGCCATTTGCCAAACCTGAACAGCGTTGTCTTCAGCCACACTTGAGATAACCCATGGTTCGTTCTTGTTCCATGAGAAATCTGAGATCTTAGCTTTATGACCCCCATGAGAAAAAAGCAGTTCGGCAGGGCCATCGCTTGCATCTCCCTCTTGCTGTTCATCTCCAATCCTAAATTGAACATGCAAATGTGACAATTCTGTACTACTCATTCAAAGCAATTAGATAAATATGAGTTGCTGCTGCTACTGCTAATAGCTAATCAACCAGTAGTAATAATCTCGTGCGGGAAGAGTGTGTGAGTGCGTGCTTTTGTGTGTGTGTGAGAGAGAGAGAGAGTAATATGAGTAACTTTTAGGTTGAGAACCAACACGTGGATAGTGTACCTGTTGAAGTCCCAGACCATCACCCTTCTGTCCTCCGAGGAAGAGGCTAACACAGCCTCATGATTAGGATCCCATTCTACTTGCAAGACCTCTCCTCTGCAAGATACAGTTCCAAGTGAAAAGGAGACATCAAGCCCTAGTCTCTTGCCATCACGTAGAACATTAGCGTATTGAGGATGAAGCTAGTCATGGTAAAATCAATCTTAAAGAAACACGACACCCTCTACAGCTCCAATACGAAGTATCTAAATCTGCTTTTAAGTTCTATAGGCTGCACATAAAAACTGCAATCTTTTGAAAACTAATGATACAGTAAAGTCTCAGATCCATCACGTGGGCAAAGAACATACTCATGGCTACTAAAGACATGCAATGGTGTGGAGAGCTTCCGCATGTCAAACAGTCCAACTGTTGTGTCTGAAGACGCGGTTGCTAGAATCCAGTCATTATACGAGTTGAAAGATACAGAATTCACCTGGGAACAAAGCATGAGAAAGATACTTTAATTGCAAATCTATTAGCTACGCAACGATCACAACGTAAACATATATAATCACTAAGAAATCCAATTACATGTGTCAGGGTATTAACAATAAACATAAGGTGTTTTGCAAAAAAACCAAGAGCAAAAACCAATGAATTGAAGGAAATTCATGGCTGTCTAACCTCTTTCTCATGTGCTTTGACACATTGCTGGGGTTTATTCGTTCGCAAGTCCCAGATCATCAATTGACAATCATCACCGACAGACCCAAATAAGCTGTCATTCTTCAAGTGCCAAGACACATCTCCAACCGCAGTCTCATGAGCCTAAAAATGACAGTTCCATCTCCACATAAATACTTGGTAAAACTACCAAAGTCATACGACGATTGGTAAGCCCAAACTCCTATCTATCATATATTACCTCGAAAACATGCATTGCACTGAGCACTTTATCCTGTGCCGCAGCAGATATATTCCAGAGACAAATCTTTTTATCATGGGACGCGCTTAAAAGGTAGCCTTCTTTCAAGGGGCTCCAAGACAATCCATAGCCTTCTCCATCATGACCCGTCAACCTCAAATCCGGATCAAACCCACCCTCCTGCTGCTTCGCAGCCTGCTTAGAACAATCAAAAACATAAACCTCGCAACCATTTGTCTTAGCACCCACAATATCATGATTCTGCGGCATGAACCGCGCCCTGTTCACTTCCCCATCCACGCGAATCTTTTGCGATATCTCCACCTAAAACCAGTGAGAAAGATAGGGAAAAACATCAGACAGTACTATTCAAGAATCTCCAGCATGGTCGACAGCGAGATTGACCACATTCTTAAAACCGGCGGCATACAGCAGCTTTACATAGAGAAACAGTCGTGAAACTGCGGCAGCTCGACACTCATTAGAACAACGAGAGGAATTATAAAGGTGGGAATTACATCGAACACTTAGAACGCACCAACCAACTCCAGATAAAACAACACAAAATCAACAGTTCCACCGAACACCACGTGATTCAGCAAAGCAATGCCCGCATAATTGTTCAACCGAAAAGAGCCGAATAAAATTTTCGCGGTGCCGAGGGGACCGACCTTGGGGATCGCGGCGGCGTCCTCCTCGCCGGAGCCATCGGATTGGGAAGGGAGGAGGGCGTCGGCGAGGACGAGGAAGTTGGGGACGCCGTCGGAGGTGTGGGTGCCGAGGATGAGGCGGTGGACGGCGAGGGGAGGGTGGTCGCCGGCGGAAGAGGGGCGGGGAGGGAGCGGGGCCCAGTGGACGGTGAGGGACGGCCACTCGAGGGCGTGGGAGATGACGAGGTCGTAGAGGATCGGGGTGTTCTTCTTCCACACCGCGAACTCCTCCTCCAGCTGCTGCAGCTCCGCGCTTTCCTCTTCCGCCATGGATGCTCCCTCTCTCTCTCTCTCTCTCTCTCTCTCTCTCTCTCTCTCTCTCTCTATCTCTCTCTCCTGTGTTCGCGCTTCTTGTGGCGCCGCTTTTTCCCGCCAAAACTTGTTGGTGAGGGCTTTATGCTGACCGGGGATGATGGGCCGACTGTTCGGCTACTAAGGCCCAGCACCTCCCGGTATCATCTTGCTTTTTCTTTTTTTTTTCCACCTTTATTTTTTTTTGACTTTCTAGCATGGAAAACTTGTTGACTTATTTTCATTTGATTGAGAACTTAAATTCTAAATCGCGATTATTCCTTTTGATCATTTTCATATTGATTGAGCCTTTTCAGGCTCCGTTTGTTTCGTGAAACGAAAATGAACGATTTGAAAAATACTTTTTCAAGATCGCTTGAAATAATTAGTCGATAAAAACTATTTTCATTATTGACAACGATTTACGTTTAAATATTTTTCATGAAAAGACGAAAATATTTTTTCCTTCATTCTTTTTTGTAAGTAATACGAGCAGTCATTTTTAGAAAAATATTTTTCAAATCATTCATTTTTCGTAAAGCAAAACGTACTCTTAAATTCTATATCGCAATTCTAATGCATTCATATCAAAGCACTTGTGGTTTTGGGAAAATAATGTGTACACAAGTGACATCACGTCATATTTTACACTAGCCCATTCAATGAGTGGTACTCTTGGGCCCGCCCATCAAAATTTGGCAAAGTCTCTCCTCTCTCTTCACGGCCTCTCTCTCCCTCCTGACTTACACGCTCTGCTCTCTCGAGCAAGCGATGCCGCGGGCGAAGGCGGCCACGGCCTCGCCAGCCACGAGCAAGGTTGCCTTCGCTCGTGGCCGGCTAGGCCATTGCAAGGCTCGCCTCGTCCAGATTTGGGCAAGGCGGCCGCCTACGCCTTGCCCAAGATGGGCGAGGACTTTGCAACCCTAGTTGCATTTTTTTCTAAAGGCTCGACCATGGCTCGGCAAGGATTTGAAGAAGGCTCGGCCGTGGCTTTGCCGAGATATGGAGGAGGAGTTGCTTGGCCTTGGCTCGATTGAGACATCCGAAGAAGGCTTGGCCATGCCTGATGGCTAGCCAGCTTCGGCGACCCTCGCCGGTGAACCACGCTGTTGCCTCCGCCTCGTCCGTTGCCTCCCCCATCGCCTATATCATATTTTCCAAATTCCTGCTCATCTATCCTCCAAGTTTTTGTTGAGAGTCGGGAGGGAAAAAGAGCAGAGCAGAGCACATGACTTAAGGAGATAGAGAGACCGCAAAGAGAGAGGAGAGAGACTTTGCCAAGTTATGACGGGTGAGCCCAAGAACGACACGTATGGCTCACTAAATGGGCTAGTGTAAATATGATGTGAAAATCACTTGTGTACACAATATTATTTTCTCGTGCTTTTGGGTACTTATTATCCCTTCAAACAATTTTTTTAAACTATCGTCACGAGGGAAACCACTCGTGTTGAAAGGGTACGTCTATCATTCAACATTCTTAATCTTATCAAATGCGTGTTTGATGGCACGATACGAAATTAAAAAAATTTGACGTGGCAATTTCCAAGTAGTACTTATGTCGGGATTAGGAGGTTGACGCACACGGGTTTCGTCAGATTTGGCCAAATGAAAAGCGACGAGATATTTCCCATTGCTACCCAACATTCCATGAGATGGTGCCAATCTTTGGAAGAGGTAAAAGCCATGGACGTCATTGATGTGAAGATAATGCCAAAACATATATATGTCATTTGCAGAGGACCCCGTTTAAGTAATAGACGAGCTTGTTCAGTATCTCAATCCTACATAACCTAGTAATGGCAGAACAGAAACAAAGGGCAAAAGACAAACCAGCAACACATCACACGATTACCAATTTACAGATTCGCACAGCTTGACCGCGAGGAAAGCAAAGTATGAGCGGCATCTGATTTCAGGGATCACGTTCACATGACGGCGCAAGCGGTCGGGTTTTCGTCGCTGAACGCGGTGGTGTAGCGGACCTCGGTGGAGCTCGCACGGGCCAGCTGGTTCGTCTGCGGATCCTGCGAGTACCTCACGTAGCCCGCCGGCGCCTTCTTGTCGTACACCCCCTGCGCGTACGGGTGCTCGACCACGTCGTACGGCACGTACGGCCACAACTCGGCCCTCTTGCCCGTCCGGTGGCTGATGCGCGCCACCACCTTGCCCGGGTCCACGTACCCGACCACCGTGACCTTGTTCGCCTTGCGCTCGATGTCCACCTGCTGGACACCCTTCATCCCCTCCACCGCGCGCTGCACCCGCCTCTCGCACCCCTCGCAGTCCATCTTCACCTTGACCTCCACGGTCTGATTCAAATTGCAGCAAACGCACAAACCCGGCTCAGTATATTGAACAATGAAATGCTATCGATGCAGTTGCATCTGAGTTTCTACATCCCAAGAACTTCCAACGCCAAAATGCTAGTGGAGTGCTCGATATATTTGTTTTTCAGGGTTAATCGTGAAGGACTAACTTTTGAATCCAAAGTCATGTTTGACAATTGCTACAGATACATAAGGAAAAGAAGCATCCATTTTACCAGACAACAACAGAACTGCAAACCGCAAGTGCACATGGCACGAGATACTTTAGTATCGAGTAATATATATTTAAAACTGGGGAGAGGATTAATCTAATTCCATTCAGGTGGACTCTGCTCCTGCTCAGGCTCTGTCCAGTGGACGAAAACATCTACAGCGGTGGAAGTTTTGCTTTTGCTTTTGTGTGTTAAAAAGGGGGAAACTCATGCTTCTTTTTCTTTCTTTTTTTTCAAGGCATGGAAACATAATCTAAGCGGCACTTGCCCAAACAGTTGATCCCAAAAGCCAATCTGAGACCAGCAACGTGGTCGGAAAGTCTCTTGAGTTTCCGAGTGGAAGGAAAGTGGCAAGCTCGTGGGCAGTTGTTTCTCGCGTTGCGTTAATGGGTTGGCCTAGATGCGAACCAAGAAAGAGATCAAACCCAGGAAAGGCGACACATATCATCAAAGATTCTGGACTCACTTCACTGGCACAACAAAACCAGATTCAGCAAGATCACCGATCGTTTTTAAATCTCCAGTCCAGATCAACAGACAGTCCCTAGATCTACTGATCGAGAGCACATCAACACAAACAAAGAAACTGAACAGCTGAGCTCGTCAAGATCCATCAACCAAGCTCAAAGAAACTGAAAAACTGAGCTCTTCTACTTTCATAACATCGTCATAAACGAACACACGTGTAACTTGGTAACAAGAAGAAAGTGTCGAGGGCTGCGAGTATACCTGCAACTGCCTGCGCTTCTTGAGCTTGGAGCTGCCGCCGGAGCAGTCGAAGAGGTCGGAGAAGTGATCCAGAGCTCCCATTTCTCTCGCGTTCTTCTGCTCAAACGCGGGCGCGCTTGTGTTTGCGCAAATCTTACTTCTCGAAACGAGACCAATCGATGACAACCCAACACCAACACCACCGAAAAATATCCCAACTTTCAAGTGCCTATCAATTCACAGTGAAGACGCGAAGCTCGAAGCAATGATGAAGCGCAAAGACACTGGCTCTTTCTTTCAACTCTGGAGGAGGGGGTCCCTCCGTGCTTTATAGGGAAGTTCAGCAGAGCTCTGCACTCTCACGAGTCGGAACACGCACGGATCTGGGCCGTCCGTCCCTGCCCGGCTGGGGCCTGGTGGGTCGCGCGCCACGTGTCCTCCTCGGAGGGATGGATTTCGAGATGTCAAGCACATGGCCATGGCACCGCCCAAAGCGGGGAGTGGGTCAGTGGGTCCCCGGTCGTTTTTGGAGGGAAATGGAAGGTGGCGCCCACGCTCGCTGTCACGCGCGTTCAGATAGCGCGTCGTTACCTGTCTCTCCTTCGGATGCGGGTCGGTCCCACGAGGGAATCGAAATCGAAATTGGAATTGAAATTGAAATCGAAATCGAAATGTAACTCTCACTTAACTTTTCGGCCGGGCCCTCTTTTAATTATTCTAGGATCCCTTTTTCAATTGAAAATGGTTAGTTGCACATTTAGAGAATCTTCGAAAATATTTGCTAGGTTTACATAACGTATTCCACAGCGCATTTGGTTCTTGTACGTTCAATTGTGGTAATGGTGGCGCTTGATTCAGTCTCAATATATTCATAGATGTATTATTTCCCGTTTTTTCTTCCGATGTTAATGATTGCATTTCCGGATAAATAAAGATTGCGCGATTTTTAACTTACAGAGGTCGCCTTTATTAACGCGACGTAGGTAGTTTTTTTTTTTTCAGTAGTTAACTGACTAAGCACATCGGCGATGGTCAAGATGGTTCGCGACGAAAAAAGAAAGTTTCGCGACCTATATATCATATAAAACTCTCTGATTATAACCTTTTTGTATTATCCCTTAAAAAGGGTTGGATGCGATGACAGATGCTACTACTCTATTAAGATATTATAACGAGAGTCTTATACCTATCGCGAGATATCTAGATTTAAGATTGCAAAGAAGCCGTCGCCCGTCACCACTCCCAACCAATATGTCCGAAGCAGGCGAGTCCTGTCTCCCCACTCCCATTAAGCCATCAGAGAACCCATCACCAAAACTAGGTACATGGCACTATTTCGAGGAAAACCACCCAAATCGATCAGAAAATCTATTGTGCGGATTCAATTCATTCGTAAACTTTCAAAATCCCGACAATTTAGTTCTGCACCCTTGTACGAAATCCAAATGTAAACCTTACAACTAATTTTAGCTGGAAATTGCCGATATAGCAGTCATGTCATCGTCGGCAACTGGACTCTCGTTATACAACCATAGCAATCTCCCCGTATTTTTTATTCTAGGTGCGTGCATTCATGCATTGTGATCGGATCCAAACCATGTCAAACCCTCACACGCGCACGACCACATAGAAAATGTCGAGAACACACGCTAAAAATTTTGACAGCAAGGAAATAGTTCTCGGAACAATGTCATGCATGCACACTCCTAAAAAATAAACAAGTGTTGTCACCTGTAATTTATCGGTGCCTACCCTGCTAGACCGTTATCATCTCCAAATGTTTCTTCTTTCTCGGACCTAAGTGTCAACTTAGGACAGAGATCATCAACGCCAAATCTCGCTTATCCATAATTATTACTTCACTGACGATGCCGAGAAAAACCATACATATTGCTGTCATCATTATACACTGAACAACTCTCGGTGTGATCCGATCCTTTTGTTTCCTGTCGGCCGGGCTTCCTTTCACGCGTTATCTTCGTCAATCTATTGCCTTTCTTCTCCACTGTTTCTAGGATCCCTTTCCCTCAACCTCAAACAGCAAACCCTACCTCTCCGTTGTCAAATCGAACAAACCAAAATGTTCCACATCGATTTTGCAGATGGGGACTAGCGCTTACTGTTGGTAGATAGATAATATGTGGACGAAACGTGAAAGCCAAAGGTAGCCGAGATAGAATCATAGAAAGGAGGTGAGGAGGAGTCAATGCTCGAGCGGTCACCGTCCGTAACTAACGAGCCATTGTCTTCATATATGCATCTCTCAACTTCTTGTGCTCCGCGAAAGTCGTAACTCCCACACGGGCCTCCATTAGTTTCTATCGTACTTAGTCGCAAACATGCAACGGTACTACTGAAAAAATATATAAAAGTTAGATAGGCCATGTGGGTTCTCCGTAATAATTACGACCCATCCCTTTAGCCTCGTATTTGCTTTACATTTCATGACCGCTCTCATTTAAATGTGGGAGAAAAAGTCACAAAAAACCCTAAATTATATCCACCATGACACATTTACTTTAAAATTTTTTCTTGTATCATAAAAAACCCTAAACTTGTACATACGTGACACATTTACCTTCCGTTAAGGTTCCGATAGATGATTTTTTAGACAAAATAACGTCATTTTTATTTCATTTATGTCGCACGGGCGCCGCGTCAACACTATTTGCCTTCCGGCATCCATGCAAGCATATTTTTAACGGTTCTCGTTGACATATATTTGACGGATAGATAAATGCGTTACACATGTATAAGTTTGAGATTTTTGGTGTCACAAAAAAACATTTATGATAAACATATCACAATAGGCATAGTTTAGGGTTTTCGATGGCATTTGCCCTAAATTCAAGAGGAATTCTATTTTCAAACCTTTTATTTTACCGAAACAAGTCGACTATGTGTCAAAACTCCAGCGAAACTTACAAACAATGTCTCTAAATCAACAAAAAGCTATGTACAGATGTGTGGAGATGCATTTGTGAGTTGTGTTAAAAGAATCCCACATCGAATAATTTATGTGTTGTAGAGTAGTTAATATATCAAAATTGACTCATAACTCATTGAATTTTTTTTTTAACGAATGTGAGTTCAACTGGATTTATTGATAGATTCAGACTTAAGCTCATGGTGAAGGTATTGGGCTTCCGTTGCACTTTCCTTCCTAGGCGAAAGTATCGGGCGATGAGTAGTAATCGCGAAGCGAATACATAATAATATACTAGATTAATACGTATATACTTTTTCAACGATCGTACAAGTGACTACAGGAAATTGAGGGGGCAAAAAATCTAAGTAGCAATCCAATTGTGGTGGCCGGGTCTAGCCCATTTCTGGAACTGGAAGAGCGTGGTCGAGTGAACGCTCATTTTTAGTTTTGCTCGAGGAATTTTTCAATTTTATTTTTGTTTCCCCCCCCCCCCCCCTAAATTTGATAAACAAGCGTTATTTGCCGTTAGTCATTCGGTTGGGTTAGGGAATTCTGCGGCAAAGAAGGCCCAGGCCCAATCTCAGGCCCAAGACGCGACCCCATAAATGGGCTTGAAAGCCTCGGGAAAGTCTGCCTAAGCTTGAGAAGCCCACCCGATCGAAACGTTTACGTTGCCAGAATTGCGAAGGTCGAGCGGGCAATTTCGGGTACGAATGGAACCGTTCCTGCCTGATATTACAAGATCTATTACGACGCTGGACTTAAAATTCAATCCGTGGGATCCTCATCATCATCAGTTTGCAGTTCTTGGTATTCGCATTCCTTTTCGTACACGACGAGGTGAAAAACGCAAGTGAAATCCGTTCTTCCTCCGTAAAAACAGGAGAAGCAGCAAAAAGCCTTTTTCCCAAATGACAAGAAAACGGGACAAGAACAGTGAATGGTCAGTGCATGTAACAGTGGAGCTTGGAGCGAGCTTGGAGCTTTCTCCGAAGCTGACGAAGGACATGGGAAACAGCACAGCAGGTCGAGAACGAAGAAAACTCCTCTCTGATGAATCTTTGCTTGAAAGACAAGCCAAGCAATAGAAAAAAAATCGCAGGACAAAACCAGACACACCATACCCCAACGACAGACCAAAAAGTGCAAGAGACTTGCATGCTATTGGGGGGGTCAGCCACGCGGTCTTTACCGCATCCCAAAGCGGTCAAAAAAGAGAAACACGAAACGGATTCGCTTGCTGCTTTCTCGTACGACATTGAACGAAAGAGCGCCAAACCAAAAAGGAAGACAGTACCCGTATCGAACTGTTAAAAGTATAAAACAAAATGGCGGATTTCACGACCAACAGTAATGTAGTGTAGCGTGTGTCGGTGTCCGACTCAGAACGATGACGACGGTGACGTGGGTCTGTTCGCACCGGTCACGTTCGCCACGGATTGCACGTCGACCCGGCTTCTTCGACACTCCTTTCTCTTCCCTCTTCGTGTATCGGGGTCAGGAACGTGTCTGTGTTTGTGCGTGTTCTTGTTTTTGGGCCCAATCATGCGCGAGCGTTGAAGTTGGAAAAAGACGGAAGCATTATCGCCACTATTTTCCCTTCGTTTACACTGTCTTGTCATGATGACCCTCCTTCAAAAAGAACAAGGAAATGGAAGACCTTTGTCTCCTCCCGTTATCAACACGACGGGTCGTGTAGTAATGATAATGATCATGATAACAGCGTTATGCTGGGTCGTGCGGAGATGCGTATGGTTTGAAAAGTCAGAGATTCCGCTGATTCAGCTCTAAATTTTTTGATTTGGCCAAACGTGACTTTTGATGATTATTCATTATAAACATTTCGGCCAATTTAAGCTAATAACTGCTGACGTGGTGGTCCAGTTAGCACTAGCAGGTCTATGGGGGCATGACCAGCGATCCGACGGGGCTCAAAATTACGTTATTCGAGGAATTTTTTCATAATGTTTATCCTTTCCCTTTCTTCCTTTTACTTACCGGATTGGCCGGCGAGGATCTAGGTGAGCATTGCAATCCTTGCTCATGGCTGACGATTGGCAAAGAAGAATAGGAAATAAAAGAAAAAGCGAAGAAAATCTAAAAAATTGCGAACAACCTCATTTCATTTAATATCGTCCACGTCAGCCGCCGGCTGATACTAACTAGACAATCATGTAAGTGATTTCCGAACTAAATTTGACTGGACGGATTACACTGGACAATTGTCAAAAGGTTATTACATCGACCGAATTGGAAATTGTATGATCAAATTGGAGGCCGTATAATATGTTTATGATATTTTAGACAATTATTTCTATAAAATTATGTATGTGCGAGGCGGCAGCGAAAGCCAGAAGTGGA